ATGACGAGCAACAAGAGACGATTTTTTGGCGGTAAAATTCAAGATGGCGGCCCTGCTGGAACTTGTAAAATTGTTTTCCTGTAAAAGAAAGGCTGAAAAAGAGTTTTTAAGTTGCCAATATCAAATGAACGAAGAAACGTTTTCTTCTTTGAATTGTTCGATCGACATACGTTCCTCAAGAACCTTCTTTATCTCCTCGAAAACAGTTTTGTTTGCAGTCTTCGTCAACGCGTGTGTCCAGTTTGTAACCAAAGTCGTTTTCTTCGTCTGGCAGGACGAAGGCAAAGTACTTCAGCTCTGTTTCTGTCCATGAACGACTTCGCTGTTTCGTACCTGCATCAGCTGCAGCCGCCATGTTGTTATGTTTGGCGTTTAACCGCAAGCATTTTTGTAACACGGTCTCATTAATTTTCAGCGGTGGCTTTGGCAACCGATCAAAATAGCTGAGATCATCAAGAGGGAGATAAAAACTGCATCGATTAGTCAGATAATACGTTATAAACAGTCGACTGATGTCGATAGAATAATCGCAAAGTCAAAAGCCAAAGAAATAATTTAGAAGAAATAGTGCTTTACAGTTCGAGTTTAAGAGAGGTTCTCAATAATGCATAGCAACTTTCCAACTTTACATAATTGTTTTCCAGGTAACTGCCGCAGTTTATTGTTTACTACTTTTCCTAAACCTGGCTTCCGGTTGGAGAATCACACGGTTCGAACTATTGAAGTTGTTAACGAGGATCTCTGCATGTTCCAGTGCTACCTGGAACCTAACTGCGTCAGTTATAACTTCTGTGAGATAAAACAGTTGTCTGGAAAACATGAGTGTGATCTGAATAACGCGACTATTGAACATGATGAAGACCTGGTGAAAAACGAAAGTTACATTTACCGCAGAGGTGAGGATACTCTTTGTACGGGAAAGCTCTGATACGAAATCAAGGGATATCCCGGCCTCTCCTACTAATTTAAATAACCCTCTTGCAACGGGAATAACTATAACGCGAACATCCACGTATATCACCAACAACCTTGCGTGAAAAGAGTGCAACAAAAGCACTCGCGAACAACAAATTAAGAGTACACTCGAGGACCACGAAGGTGGACAGGTGGAATCAAGAAACCTCCAATACCTAGCCCAAAAATTGGAACTGCATGCGTGAGACATACGCACACCATTGCAAGTGCGGACGTTCAACACACGGGAAGGACTTTTTAGCCTGCCAAAATATCATTTTAAGTTTCTCTATTTCTTTCCTTCCTAAGAATGCTTGTAAGAAAAATCCTTGCAAGAATAACGCAACATGCCAAGCTGGGTTTACAGACAGAGACTATCAGTGTTTGTGTGTTGATGGATCTGGATTTAAAGGCCATGATTGTGATGAGGGTAAGGAATCGTATACTTTCATCAGTAGAGCTAATCACATGACTTCGAGTGCAATTTGGGATAAATCAGCCCGAAAAAATTTTTCGAAGGTTAACCAAATTGAAGAGCCCGTACGCTCGTATTCTTTCGTGTCTTTCGCACGAACTGTTGCGCTGGTTTAACTCCTCGATGTTAGTCATGGGCGATCGCTGTAAACTTTCATAGTCGTTTTTGGAAGCCAGAGTTTTAACCAGTTGTTTGTTGGATGTTTTTATTTCAGCATTCTCATTAAAACTCTGAATTAAAACTTTGTTGCTTTTTACTTACCTGTCAGCCATTTTATTTCGTTGTGCTTACGCGACTTACCTGTCAATCAGTTTGATTTTAACTTTCTGCACTGTTTGGGATAAATTGACGTGCTCTCGGCCAATGAGCATGCTGAAATTCTTGCATGTGTTTTATTAAAGAAACATGATGTACTGATAAGTAACAAGTTTCGCACGCTCCTCCCCTAAACTTTATTTCTTTAAGGTGATTGGGCAGACTTATTTGAAAGGGATAAGCACCATACAATCGCTAGCATCTCAATAGTATGAAAGTCTCAGAACATCACAGCAGATAGCCTTGGCTTTGAAGTTGCGAGAAGAATGATCTAGGATAGCACAAGTTATTCAAAATACTAAAGACGATTTATATGAATAATTGTGTTGCTGCTCATGGTTCATTTCAGAAACTGGTTCATGGCTTTTTTTTTTTTTTTTGCATTGCTTTTACTCCATTAAGTCTCAATTTTTTCAATCGCGTCGCAAGTTTGAAACAGAAAAACAACGGTTTCCGGTTAACGACTTCAATCGACTTCGAGGGACGCCCTTTCGTTTCTTGTTTTGCATTCAGGATTATTTAAAAGCCTGGCTTGCCTTATTTGCTACCTTCTCTTTAGAATGCTCTATCTTAGGTATGCCGCTGAGGTTTTCTCAAATTGCTTTTCGTCCAATAGTCACACTGTATCAATTTTCACTCGGTCAACATTACCGCTACGGTTCTTCACTTCTCTCAACCTCTCAACACCTTACAAAGCGCCCGGTGGCCTGGAATTGTGCTTTGCGTTTGGTGCATTTCCACCTCTGACTCTGACATTTTGGATTTCAGCTGGTCGTAAGTGACTGAGTCAATAACGTAACCTGAAGGGAATGGAAACCTTGGTATTCTTGCGGTCACAGGAGACGTTTGAGCCGTACTTTAACTTTTCTATCTTCTAATGAAACCAGCTTTTGGTAGCATATTCGGACACTTTGGTCCAAATAGTTTCTTAGAGAATGGCTGTGTACTAGCGTTCTTTCTAACCGCGGCCCTGAGTAAAAGCAGTATTGGCAAAGCCAAAAGTAATTATAACAATTTTTTACTGGTATCATAACTTTTATTTTTACTTAATGTGTTTTACGAAGGCTTTACAGCTGTTTTTACAAACCTTGGTAAGAGTGGAACAAAGGGTCCAGACTCAGTTGGCAGTCACTACACAGGTCAGGATCATGACGGACAAGTTACAGTGTCCAACGGTACTCAACTGTGGACTGTGCCATACACTGGTGAATACAGAATAGAAACAATAGGAGCCTCAGGGGGGTACAGTGAGGGCAATGTTATCAACGGAGGGAGAGCGGCGAGGATGATTGGAAACTTTATGTTGACCAAAGATGAGATCATTCATATACTTGTTGGTCAAAGAGGGGAAAGGCATAATAAAAATTCTACCAAAGAAACTGCTTCAGGCGGAGGAGGTACATTTGTAGTAAGAGACAACAAACCTTTAATCATAGCCGGAGGTGGAGGAGGAATTGCAAAAATGACAGAACAACATTCGGGATGTGATGCGTCCATAAACACATCAGGGAATGCAGGGTACAACTCCCTATTCCTGTCAGGAGGAATGAACGGAGATGGAGGACAAACTGATACTGATAAAGGTGAAGAATTTCCTTTTTTATAAATACTGAATTTTTTTTTTGCATTATATTGCCACCCATCAGCATTTCGAACAAAGAGGTGCTACTGGTCGCTTAAATTTGGATTTTTTTCAGAATCACTTAAAGCCATGATCTTTTCAGTAGCTAATATCAACTGTAAATCTCTTGATTGTAGGTGGTGGTGGTGGCGGCGGCTTTTACAGTAATGGAGAAGACTCAGGGGGTTCTGGTGGAGGGGGAAAGGGAGGTAAAGGATTTCTAGCCGGGGGAGAGGGGGGAAGACATTCGGGTGGGTTCGGAGGTGGGGGTGGTTATCGTGCAGCTAAAGAGTTACCTGGGGGAGGTGGAGGGTACTCTGGGGGAAGTGGAGGTGCGAATAAAAATATTTCTTGTGGGGGAGGGGGAGGTTCTTTCAACAACGGAACAAATCAGCAAAATGAATGTTGTTATAATACTGCTGGACATGGTAAAGTGATCATTACATTTCTTCATTGAAATGCATGGCAGCACTTTTCTTAGCTTGTAGTGGTAATTCTGTTTTGAAGCGCTAATTGATATTTGTTTTGAAACTCAATTACTCTTAATTTTTTTGGGTCATTATTTAGATTTTGTTATTAAGCCGTGTTCATTGATGGAGCTCAATCTGATTTCTGTAATATAACATGTGGTATTCCACAGGGGTCTATTTTAGGCCCTCTCCTATTCACTGTTTATATTAATGATCTCCCTTCATGTGATTTGTTTTCAAAACCCAGATTGTATGCAGATGATACTACCCTCACCACATCTGCAGAAGACCCAGGGGTCCTTGAATATAAAATGAATAATAATATTAATTTAATCCAGTCATGGCTGTCAGCAAACAAATTAACTTTAAATGTGAAGAAGACTAAATACATGCTTATAGGGAGCCAATTTAAGTTATCCCAAATAAATAGTGACTTCACAGTCAAAGTCAATACCACTCCCTTAGAAAGAGTAATTGAACATAAAACCCTTGGAGTTCAAATTGATGAATCTTTAAGCTGGCGCCCACACATTCATACCATTTCAAAGAAAATATCCGCTGGTATTGCTATCTTGAGGCGTGTAAGTAATTTTATACCACTTGATACTAGAGTGAATATGTATAATGCACTGGTGATACCATATTTTAATTACTGTAATAAGGGACTAGCAGACAATCTTCAAAAGCTGCAGAATAGGGCTGCTAGAATTCTCACCTTTTCTAACTATGACGTTCGCTCAAGTGTTTTGTTGGATGAGCTTGGCTTGGAAAGGCTAGAATATATAAGACTTAAACAGTTGGCTGTGACAATGTATAAAATACATAATAATCTTTCCCCATCGTATCTGAGGCGGATCTTTACCAACACCTCAAATGTACACTCACACAATCTTAGAAATTCTGAGCTAAATTATTATGTCCCCAGACCCAGAACTGAGTCTGCAAAAGGGAGCCTACACTACAGAGGATCTGTTCTGTGGAATAGGATTCCTTCTGAGATTAAAAAACTGCCTAGTTTGAATGTTTTTAAAACTTAGTTTCATGAGAAAGATTTCTCTGATACACCATTGTAACTCTTATTATTCATGATATGAGTTTTTGTATTTTTAACATTATAGTAAATAGTTCCTTGTTACTCATGATATAAGTTTTCGTTTCTGTTTTTGTATGTTTAATATTATAGTCAGCAGTTCTTAAAGTATTTTAGTATAATTTAAACACGATTCCTAGGAAGACCATGTAAAATGATATGATTTCGTGTATAAATAAAGATTGATGATGATGATGATGTTACTGTAAACAAACAGCACAACTTGTGGTTCTAGAGGCGTTTATATTTGAGGTTAGAATTAAAATTTACAGACAAAATTTGCTAGAATGCGTGAGCTTATGAATTTTTACTGACCTTACCTTCTTCCCCGGGGGGGGGGGGGGGGGGGGAAGGGGAGGCCGACCTGGCTTCTTTAATTTTTTTTGCCCGTTGACCCTCGATATTTTGCTGCGCATGACACTAACTGTAGATGATGGCGCATTCAAGTTAACGCAAAACCTTATTTACTTGTTATATTTTTGTTTTTCTGCTAACATCTGGAATATCTTTTCAGGAGGCTCTCGTGCTCTTTCACTAAAAGTGGAGTAAAGCGCTGTAATTTTCACCTAGTTCGAAAGAACGTTTCTGCTTAATAACAGTTAGAAATAGATTGAGAACAATCTTGCTGGTGGATTGACTAAAAGCTCCCAAGAATTGTTTCTATGAGTTACAGAAAAGAGCAATCACTTTCCCTATATTGTCGGTCTATAGTGTCGACTTAGTAAATTCTGGTGAAACTCAATAAATTGATATCTGGCTTTAAGTATTTTCTTGATGTTTGTTAGTTAAACCTAAATTATAAAGTCACATCAACTGAGAGCAAGGTAAATTTGTGAAAAATATTCACGTATCTTACAAGAAAATTCGTGGATCCCCCAACTTTACCTATTCGATTGCTTTTCAATTTAACTTCAATCCGCAAGGAAACTCAAGGCGCTTCTGGTTCTCCAAAAACATTGGCGGTACTTGGACGCTCAATGTCTTACTTACAAGTAAATCCAGCCTCAATTAGACTCAAAACTTCAAAATGAAGGCAGAAGAAGCCGTTCAGCGCGCGTCATGGAATAGAGCGTAATTTTTTTATCTCATATAGAGCGATTGAGTGTAATCAGGGTGTGTAAGCTTTGTGATCCAGTTAGGTGTTAAGTGTAGAGGGACGGAATAGAAACAGAGCCAGCTTTATGATCATGTGTGAGGTGACTGAGTGGAAACATTAAAATTTGTATCATTAAATTGAAATTAAAATCTTTAAATTGAAACAAATTAAAATTTGTATCGTTTAAGATAAAAATTAATTTTATATCCTTAACTCAGTGCTATATTACTCGCACCCACGTTACCGATAATCAGCAATGTTCGCGCTAGTTCAGCTCATCCAGAAGACAAATACATTATTTTTAGCTATCATTTTTGCTAAGTCGGTGCCTCATGAACTACTGACATAGCAAGAAGTCGTTTGATGTTCAGACATGTAACCTCTTATTTGCTTGCACAATTTGAGTACAGCCGAAACGAGTCAGTTGTTATGGAGAAATTTCCAGCAAAAGGGAAGGGATAAGTGTTTCGCAAGTAAATATTTGCATCGAAAAGTCTGAAAGAAGACGTGAAGTAAAGCCTGGACGTGGCTTTTCATCCAACAAAATTGATATCCAGTTTCTTTTCGGAGAGTTTAAATTTGTTTGACAGGTTCTTTAGTCTGTTCATACCAAGTGTTAGCTTGTGAATCACCTTCCACCCTCTCTCCCCCCCCCCCTCCCTTCACTCTAGTTATTCAAATTATAGGCCATTGACATTGATCTTGAGTTTCACCAACCAATTGATTCCCAGGGAAACTAATTCAGTTGTGACGACCACTGAGAACCTCATAATCAGACATAGGAGGTCACGTATTTTAACAAATATTAAACTGCAGCTGTCTCATTTCGCCCAATGTTTCTCTTGAGGAGGAAAAACTTACTGTAGCTGTTCGCTGCAATTATAACGGGCGTTCTTTCTGAGGACATGCTGTCTGTATTCTACTGTTTTGTTCTCACCATTTTGGCTTCCCTAATAACAGAAGGACAAGGTAAGATTTTCCTACACCCAATTTTTTCCTATACCCAATTCACACCAATGCTTAAAGGCTGTTTGGTTAAACATGGGTATAAATTGTTTTCTTAGCATCTGCTTAAACCGATGTTTTTTAACTTCAAATTTAGCAGAATGAAAACAAAAATTAGGGATTATTTGAAACCTATGGAAAATTCAGTTATTCACATCTCTGTTTTAATTCAACCCGGCTGATGTTGTGAATGGGGTATTATTTGTACATGTTGTCTAAGAACTATTTCAAAGTTTCCTTAATAATCATATAACTTTTTTATTATCTTTATCTACATAACTAAGCCTTGAAATATTCACGTAAGCATCTCCTACTGGTACTCAAAACAACAACTATTATTTTCATCTAATACCCGGAGTGGCATAAGACAACCAAATATTTTAAAGGAAGTTTTCATTTTATTTTGCACCATATTTTGAAAAATGACAAAATTGAAAAAATAAATTTCAGGGAACATTGTTTTAGGGCTGAGCCAAAAGGGAAGGTTTACTTCGAATAAACAGTCACTTTTTCTACAATGATGTCCGTGAACCGTGTTTAATTTTGGACTTTTTGCTCCTACACGATGGATAAAATGACCACTGACAGACTTGTTTGGCTGTTTGGCTTCAAAGTTCATATAAAGGCTGGTTCCATTTTTCATAAAACGTAAATCGAGGGGTTTATGTACTTCAGTGAGCGGGCAGAAAAACGGAGTAAGTTATTACCGATCCCCCGCAGAAAGAAAGTTTAAAATTAAACTGCGAAACAATTTCACTTCACCCAACCAAAACAGGTGATTTCGGTAGAAAAAATCTGCTAAACAAACTTTACGCAGTCTCGTGTGTCATAACCGAGACTGATGGCAATGATCGAGTCATTGAACTCCTTAGGATATTTTAGGTTCAAAAATATACTTTCAGCCTTTTTAATGCACGATCCAGCACGAGTGTGCAATCATGTAGATTCCCCACATGAAAATTCCCCACACCCCACATTTACTTAAACGATGTGACCACTACCGTTTTTCTCTTTTGGTTGGTTGAATTTATTAAGGAGCGAAAACTTGAAGAGGCACCCGAAAGAAAATTTGTTTGCCACTAGTTTGCACTTATTGTTATTCAACCTGGTCGTCCACATCTATGACCAACTTAAATAGAATTTTTTATTGACAAAAACGTGTTTTGCGAGCTATTACCAACTCAGACTATCGAGAGCACACTGCCCCCGTATTTGCTAAATTAAGTATCTTAGTTATTTTCTAAGTCAACGCATTGCAAATAGCAAAATTCATGTTTTATCATAATAATCAACTATTGCCCCCGATGTTTCTCAGCTTGTTCCTTGCAAATAGACTAGTACACAGTTATGATAGAAGAATATCCAATTGCTATCGACCACATAACTATCGTACTAATCTTAAACATTTTGCAATCCTCTACCAAGGTCCTCCTCCTCCTAAATTTGGAATTCTCTCCCAATATCGATCACTGGTTTAGGTTGCTTTTTTACTTTTAAAAGAAAGATGTTTAACTATAAAAAATTGCGATATGACACTTCTTAAGATTGCTAAAAAATCGACGACGTTTCGACGTTGGCTAAACGTCATTATCAAGTCAAAAAAATATTTGTAATTTGCAGTCTATATATACCAAAATAACAACGGGTGATAAAAAGCTATATCGTAAGAAAAGAACAAGAGTAATTAAACAAAAAGTTTGGCACGTATGGAGTCCGTCTGGATATTTAAATTAGGTTCTAGATTCTTAATGAACAGTATTTCAAAGACTAAACAATCATATTTTCTCTGGGACTTTCTTAAAACTCTAAATTGGTTTTCTTTCAAGAGGTGGTTGCTACCGTGAGCTTCCACGAAATGTCGACCGATTGCCGAATATTTGTGTACCCGACACCTTCATCAACGCACAGATCACACGAGAAACGATAAAAAACGCATTGCCGATTCACAATTGACGGCTTGATTTCTTTGGGTTTAAGATCTTGCCCCAATTTCTTGCTCACAAAAACAGGCTGCACTGCAGGGAGAATCTTATGGCTAAGATCGATGGTGTTTCTTTCCGCTAAGCCTGCCGAAGAATTTCTCAAAAAAAGAATTTTTGATAGCAGAATCAATAAAAGAAAGATGGTTTATTTTTTTAATGAAATGAATCCGAATTGGCCAGGCCGCACATCCACAACTTAATTACAAAGATATTGACAACCAAGGTGGCCTTCCCTATAAGCCTGGTGGTTTCCGGAAAGTCTCCTCGCCCTACCATACTGTTAAACCCGTTTAAGTATTATATCTTAAGTGGCTAATGATGGTGATGATGATGATGATAAAATTGTACGAAAGCCTTTCGTAGGTCCCTTAAGAAAAGTTAAATTTTTGGTGCTTAAGCATGATCAAGCGGAAAATCAAAGCGCATTTTAATTTGACGAGCCGGTTGTTATGGTGAAAATTTCCAGCAAGGTAGACCCAATGATAACTTGTGTGTAATCCCCCCCCCCTCCCTTGCAATCCACCTCTTAGACTTAACGACAAACGGAAAGTGAAAGCGTGTCGAGAAAGAATTACACTTGACGACATTGATAATTGGCCCCACGAAAACTACAAGCTACAAAACTACCTCTAATGTAACAATAATGCTTAGGGTTAATTCCGTTTAAACCATCCGTAATTATCACAGATTTTTACGAAAATATCGCGGTTTTTCATCATTATGCAAACGGTCGTCGGACAAGGAGAGCGTTTATATATATATATGAACAGCGTTATTTTATTGTATTCATACAGACATGCATAAAGCCAGAATAGAAAAACGTATCAAGGACATCTTCTCTAAAATTAAAATTGAAGGCTATTAATACGCATTATATATAATCGCCAACCAGCAACATCTTAGGGAAATGTATTTATACGACAATATGACAACCACTGACAACCTCATAAATAAACAAAGAAGGTGGCCCATTTGAACGTATATTAAAATATAGCTGTCTCAAATTGCTTTATGTTCCCTTTAAGTTGAAAACATTCACAAACGTTGTTAGCTGAAATTATAACGGGCGATTTCTGAGGACATGTTCTTTGCATCTTACTGCTTCGTTCTCGCCGTTGTGGCTTCCCTTATACCAAAAGGACGAGGTGAGACTTTCCTACAGTTATCTTCTTGTTCATGTCTGAGTACTATTTGAAAGTTTACCAAACCATTATGTTTCATTTTTGGTAGCCTTGTATATTAATATAACTAAACCTTGAAATATTCATATAAACTACTCCTGCGACTGTTAGATATAATAAATTACTTCAGTCAAATAGTTCTCCCTTGGAAGGCTTGCATATTTACGAGGAGTTCACGTATCGTTTGAATTCATTTTGCACCTTATGATCATTATTTCGAAGCGACAAGATGTCGAACAAATCAGAAGCGAAAGTGTACTTTATAATCGATAATCACGTCTTTCTCTTAACAATGTTGTCCATGCACGTTTACAACTTTTCGATCCACGCAATCATTACGGATGAAATGACTAATGACAGGCCTTTGTATCTTTACAACGAGAAAAATAACTTTTCGTGGAAAGGTGCCTCATTCTCAAAGCCTACCTAATTTATATAAAGTTGGTTCCAGATAAAGGTGGTGCTGAGGTTGATTGAAATTTCCCAAACCTAGATCGAGGACTTCGTGTATTGCAGGTAGCCTTTAGAGAAAGGAAGTTCTAACTTAGCTTGCGACGATCTGATTGGTGCGAGCAACAAACCACTCTCCAAGCTAACATAGAGTTATTTTCATTTAATCAAGAAAAACCATAAATGAATCTTTAATAATATTTCTCGAATACTAGTCCACCGGATTTTGGCATCGATAGATCGATCAAAATAGCTGAGATCATCAAGAGGGAGATAAAAACTGCATCGATTAGTCGGAAGATACGTTATAAACAATCGACTGGTGTTAATAAAATAATTGCAAAGCCAAAAGCCAAAGCAATAATTTATAAGAAAAAGTGCTTTACAGTTCGAGTTTAAGAGAGGTGCTCAATTCTGCACAGCAACTTTCCAACTATACAAAATTGTTTTCTAGGTAACTGCCGCAGTTTATTGTTTGCTACTTTTCCTAAACCTGGCTACCGGTTGGAGAATCACACGGTTCGAACTATCGACGTTGTCAACGAGGATCTCTGCATGTTCCAATGCTACCTGGAACCTAATTGCATCAGTTATAACTTCTGTGAGATAAAACAGCTGTCTGGAAAACATGAGTGTGATCTGAATAACGCGACTATTGAACATGATGAAGACCTGGTGAAAAACGAAAGTTACATTTACCGCGGAGCAGAGGTGAGGATCAATTCTATGAGGGAAAAGTAATACTCTTTGTCCGGGAAAGCTCTGATACGAAATCAAGGGATATCCCCACCTCTCCTACTAATTTAAATAACCCTCTCGCAACGGGAATAAATGTAACGCGAACATCCGCGTATATCACCAACAACCTTGCGTGGAAAGAGCGCAACAAAAGCACTCGCGAACAACAAATTAAGAGTACACTCGAGGACCACGAGGGCGGACGGGTGGAATCAAGAAACGTCCAAAACATAGCCCAAAAAATGGAACTGCATGCATGAGACATACGCACACCATTGCAAGTGCGGACGACAAACACACGGGAAGAATTTGTTAGCCTGCCAAAACATCATTTTAAATTTCTCTTTTCCTTTCCTTCCTAAGAATGCTTGTAAGAAAAATCCTTGCAAGAATAACGCAACATGCCAAGCTGGGTTTACAGACAGGGACTATCAGTGTTTGTGTGTTGATGGATCTGGATTTAAAGGCCACGATTGTGATGAGGGTAAGGAATCTTCTACTTTCATTAGTATAGCTAATCACATGATTTCGAGTGAAATCTGGGATAAATCAGCACGAGTATATTTTTGAAAGGCCAACCAAATTAACCAACCCGTACGATCGTAATCTTCTGCGTCTGTTGCGCTGGTTTAACTCCTTGATAATTTTATTCAGGGCGATCGCTGTAAACTTTCATAGCTGTTTCTGGAAGCCAAACTTTTGACCAGTTGTTTGTCCTTTGTTGGATGTTTTTATTTTTGGCATTCTCCCTGAAACTCTGAATTAAAACATTGTTGCTTTCTCCGTACCTGTCAGCCATTTTGTTTCGTTGTCCTTACGCAACTTACCTGTCAATCAGTTTGATTTTAACTTTCTGCACTGTTTGGGATAAATTGACGCGCTCTCAGCCAATGAGCATGCTGAAATTCTTGCATGTGTTTTATTAAAGAAACATGATGTATTGATAAGTAACAAGTTTCGCACGCTCCTCCCCTAAACTTTATTTCGTTAAGGTGATTGGGCAGACTTATTTGAAAGGGATAAGCACCATACAATCGCTAGCATCTCAATAGTTTGAAAGTTTCAGAACATCACAATAGATAGCCCTGGCTTTGAAGTTTGCGAGAAGAATGATCTAGGATAGCACAAGTTATTCAAAATACAAAAGACGATTTAAATGAATAACTGTGTTGCTGCTCATGGTTCATTTTAGAACCTGGTTCATCACTTTCATTCTGTATTGGTTGTACCCCAACTTTTTCTTTATCACGTGTAAAGTTTGAAACAGAAAACAACGGTTTTCAGTTAGCGACAGCAATATACTTCGTGGGACGCCCTTTCGCTTCTTCTTTATCTTTCAAGATTCTCTTAAAGCCTGGCTTGCATACTTTACTACCTTCTCTGAAGAATTCTTCATCATAAGTATGCCGCTGAGGTTTTCTCAAATTCAATTTCAGCCAATAGTCAAACTGTATCAATTTTCATTCGGGCAACATTACCGCTACTGTTCTTCACTTCTCTCATCCTCCCAACACCTTAAAAAGCGCCCCGTGGCCTGAAATTGTGCTTTACATTTGGTGCATTTCCACCTCTGACATTTTGGATTTCAGTTGGTCGTAAGTGACTGAGTCAATAACGTAACCTGAAGAAAATGGAAACCTTGGTATTCTTGCGGTCGCAGGAGCTGTTTGAGCCGTACTTCAATTCTTCTATCTTCAAATGAAACCAGCTTTTGGTGGCATATTCGGACATTTTGGTCCGAATAGTATTTAAAAAATGGATGTTTATCGGCGTTCTTTACAACCGCGGCCCTGAGTAAAAGCAGTATTGGCAAAACCAAAAGTAATCGTAAAAATTTCTTACTAGCATCATAGCTTTTATTTTTACTGCATGTGTTTTAAGAAGAATTTACAGTTGTTTTTACAAGTCTTGGTGAGGGTGGAACAGGGGGTCAAGACATTTCTCAATTATTCTTAAATTTTACATTGTAGTCTATTTATTTTATATTTTATGCAAGGAGCGTCCTCGATAGGGATAACTTCTGACGTTTCCTTTTATGTATCATTACATAGTAAATATTTAATTATTGTTATTATTGATATATAAGAACAAAATTAGCCTGAACCCCCAAACACCTGTTCTTTTAAGCGGGTTTTTACTGTATTGGCAGAGCCAAAAGTAATTATAACAAGTTATTACTAGTATCATAACTTTTATCTTTACTGTATGTGTTTTACGAAGGATTTAAAGCTGTTTTTACAAATCTTGGTAAGAGTGGAACAAAGGGTCCGGACTCAGTTGGCAGTCACTACACAGGTCAGGATCATGACGGACAAGTTACAGTGTCCAGCGGTATTCAACTGTGGACTGTGCCGCACACTGGTGAATACAGAATAGAAACAATAGGAGCCTCAGGGGGGTACAGTGAGGACAGTGTCATCAACGGAGGGAGAGGGGCGCGGATGATTGGAAACTTTATGTTGACCAAAGATGAGATCATTCGTATACTTGTTGGTCAAAGAGGGGAAAGACCGAATTCTAACAAAAAAACTGGCTCAGGCGGAGGAGGTACATTTGTAGTAAGAGGAGACAACAAGCCTTTGATCATAGCCGGAGGTGGAGGAGGAGTTGCTAAAATGACAGAACAACATTCAGGATGTGATGCGTCCATAAACACAACAGGAAATGCAGGGTATAACTCGCCATTCCTGTCAGGAGGAAGTAACGGAAATGGAGGACAAACTGATAAACCGCACTCTGGTAGGTGAAGAATTTCCTATTTATAACTGCTGAATTTTTTTTTGCATCCATCAGTATTTCGAACAAAGAGGTGATACTGGTCGCTCAAATTTGGATTTTTCTCAGAATTACTAAAAAGCAATGATCTTTTCAGTAGCTAATGTAAACTTTAAATTTCTTGATTGTAGGCGGTGGCGGCGGCGGCTTTTACAGTAATGGAGAAGACTCAGAGATTTCTGGTGGAGGGGGAAAGGGAGGTAAAGGATTTCTGGCCGGGGGAGAGGGGGGAGCACATCAGGGTGGTTTCGGAGGTGGGGGTGGTTCTCGTTTTAATGGTGAGATACCTGGAGGCGGTGGAGGGTACTCTGGGGGAAGTGGAGGTGCGAATAAAGATATTTCCTGTGGGGGAGGGGGAGGTTCTTTCAACAACGGAACAAATCAGCAAAATGAATGTTGTTATAATACTGCTGGACATGGTAAAGTGATCATTACATTTCTTCATTGAAATGCATGGCAGCACTTTCCCTAGCGTGTAGTGGTAATTCTGTTTTGAAGCGCTAATTGATATTGGTTTTTAAACTCAATTGCTTTTAATTTTTTTGGGTCATTATTTAGATTTTATTATTAAGCCGTGTTACTGTAAGACAAACAGCGCAACATGTGGTTCTAGAGGCGTTTATATTTGAGGTTAGAATTAAAATTCACAAACAACATTTGCTAGAATAGGTGAGTTTGTGAATTTTTACCGGCCTAACCTTCTCCCCCGGGGGGGAGGGATGGAGTAGGGGGAGGGGGAAGGGGGAAGGGACAGGGGGGAAGGGATGGGGAGAATTAAGCATGGCTCGTACGTTCTGAGTTGTATGATGCATGAATATTTAGGTGATAGAAAACAGTGAACAACAAATTCTCCCACCTCTTTATTCAATCAGATTCCTACGCGTTAAAAGCATACAATATTAAGGTGAGGCAAGATAATAGTTTGTAATCTCCAGGGTGAGGACAATGTTAGCTACAAATTACTTTGGCCTATAGAATAAAGAAGATACAAATGCCAAGACTGTTTAGACTTTAAATAGCGGGCATGGTGGGAAGTTAGTGATAATTGGTCAAATAATAACATATGGGTAATGAAGACTAAGTAATAATTTTGTAGAGAAACAGTTGTGAAGTCAGCTCTTCATATTCTTGTGCATTTTATGTCAATGAATACACATTTAACAATGTAAAGGTATGCAGTCAATCTTTTTTTCTCGATCAGCTCAAAACCAAAATTGATTTTCAATAATGATACAGTCAGTGTGACCCGGCTTCTTTAATTTTTTTGCCCGTTCACCTTCTAAATGTTGCTGCGCATGACACTGACTGTCGGTGATGGCACATTCAAGTTAACGCAAAACCTTATTTACTTGTTATATTTTTGTTTTTCTGCTAACATCTGGAATGTCTTTTCAGGAGGCTCTCGTGCTCTTCGTCACTTAAAGTGGAGTAAAGCGCTGTAATTTTCACGTAGTTGGAAAGAATGATTCTGCTTAATAATAGTTAGAAATATATTGAGAACATTCTTTGCTGGTGGATTGACTAAAAGCTCCCAATAATTGTCTCTATGAGTTACAGAAAAGAGCAATCACTTTCCCTACATTGTCGGTCTATAGTGTAGATTTAGTAACCTCTAGTAAAACTCAATAAATTGATATCTGGCTGTCAGTATTTTCATGTTTGTTAGTTAAACCTAAATCATAAAGTCACATCAACAGACAGCAAGGTAAATTTGTGAAAGAATGAAAAAAGTATCTATGCATCTTACAGGAAATTTCGTGTATCCCCCAACTTTACTCATCGTTTTTACTCGTCTTTGATGTCTTTCTTCGCAGCACACGAAAACCAGCCTTGACTGAAGGTCTTTGCAGGGTAATCGAAAATTGTATGATGCATGGATATTTAGGTGATGGAAAACAGTCAACAACAAATTATTTTCTATGACAGCCTTGTATAGCAGGAGATTCCTGACGGCGGCTATAAAAAGCGTTGCGAATTGTTTGAAACTTCCAACGCAGTTTCTGATTAGACTTCTGATTGAGCAATCGTAAGATAGTAACTAAATAATTCACGCACACTTTTCATAAGACATTCGTCACTCATTACATGTGTCTCCTTTACTGAACTTAACTTCAGCGGAATACAACGAAGGTACAATTAAGTACAAAGTCAAATTCGTTGAATTGGTTGTGAGTTGCTATATAAAAACTCATCCTTGTAGATACGGCTAATCCTTCACTTGCACAAAATGAAAACAATTGAATCGAGACAGTTGCTACATGGTGAAAATTTCTATGCAGCAGAAATGATGAATACTTTGCTATGAAAATTTCACATGTAGTCAAATATGACGTGAAGTGAGGCCTGGACGGGGCCCTTAATCCAATAAAATCAAAATTCAATTCCTGATAACGCATAACTCTTCAGATAAATAAAGGGTAAGTTTCCAAAGAAACTGGTGTTGTGTCGGTTGGAGATTATAACAGGGTAGTTTGGTATTAACAAGTAAGTTGATAACGTGAATTGGCCACCGGAAAAAGTTTAAAAGTTGAAGTCTTGAGCGTTAACCCTTCGTCAGAGCGAATGGAGGAATTGTGGGTTGTGACTGTTTTTATATGAAGAAAATTGAGCTACGCTATTGGTGGCAATATGGTGACGAGAAAACATAAAAATAAATTAGTTGAACGAAAGGCGCTCGTTGATACCGAGGGGATTTAGAGTTTTGCGGCTTTCCGAACTGCCTATGTACGGAAAGGCCGCATACTGTCATATGGAGCTCAGAATGATTAGGGAGATTTAATTAAATTACTTTTTCAAATGTATTGAAATGAATGCGATTTATTTCGACGTTTTGAAGCTTAGTTTTTAAAAAACCAGCAATTGCAAAACCTATTTTAATCAGCGATTGTATTGATCGTTTCCAAGCGGTTTTCCTATTCCGGTTACAGGCCCCCTCGGACAACTACTAACAACCACATAGATAAACAAAGAAGGCGCCCAATTTGAACGCAGATTAAACTTCAGCTTTCTTAGTTACCTGATTTTGTCCTTAAAAGTGTAAACGTCACAGTAGCTATTCGCTGGGATTATAACGGCTGTTTTTTTTTCATTTGTTTTCCCTAATACCAGAAGGACGAGGTGAGATTTTCCTACAGTTCTATCCTAGTTATGTCTGAGTAATATTTCAAAGTTTACCAAGGCGATATATTACTTTTTGATTATCTTTATTGAGATAACTAAGCCTTGAAATATTCGCACAAGTTTCTCGGCTTCCACTGGAATTGAATATAATATATCGTTTCATTTCAATACATACCTGGACTGGCACAGGACAACCTACGAATTTTGCAAGAAGTTCATGCGTCTTTGAAGTTATTTTGTAACACAGATTTTGGATACAACAAGTTTACAAACGAACAAATTTTATGAAACGTGGTTTTTTGGAGTAACCAAAAGCGAAAGTTTACTTCAGAAATACAAAAATAAAGTCACTTTCTCTACAAAGAAGTCAGTGAACGTATACGGGTCTTTTGACATGTTCTATTATACGCGACGGATGGGTTTGACTACTGACATATTTTCGTTTTTGTTTAAAGTTGAGTATAGCCGCAAACGCTAATCACTCGTATTTCAAACTTTACTAGAACAAACTTGACACATTGTTGAATACGGTAACTGAAAATGACAAAATTACAAACACGCGAATGAGCATAAAATAACTTACATCGTATGAGTGAAAGTACTGGAAAACGACAAAGCGAGATAAACAAGGATACTTACAAGACGAATGTGATCAACCCAAAGACGAAAACATGAAACCCAGAGCTAGATATGTAACGGTAATTTTCACAAACTAGACAACTAACCAAATAAATTACGCGCAACCAATATATATACGATATGCAAATAAATATAACAAGTACAGAACTGGTAACTGACAAAGGACACTAATGGAAGACGAGAAAATAAACAACTAACACGAAACTATGAAACACCAACACTAACAAAAAATGATAGTACAAATTCTTGCGCCTACATTGAGAGTCAACTAAAATAGCACGACTCGGAGATAAATGAAAAATTTACAAAGCTGTGAGACTTTTCAATTCTTGTGATGAAATTGTCTTATTCGTCAAAACGAGACAAAATATGCTGTTTTCTCAAAACCTACTGGAAAATTAAAGAGAATAAAAAAACGAAACCGCAGTGGCAATTAAATATGTCATCTGTGGCAAAGTCTGGCTTTTTGTACAATTTGGCTCTTGAGTTGATCTAAAGGTTGGTTCACAAAATCTGCACGGAGAACTTAATTCGTATGTTCTAGAAAGTTGGTCGAACTAAGGCATAAGTTATTTATGATCCACCGCTGAAACGATGTTCTAACCAAAAGGTTGATTTTTATCGGAAATTTATTCGACAAATTTTACTCAGTCTTGGTTCATCAGAACGAAGAATGTTGACTTTCGGTTCTACAAGCAACATGAGACATTTTTTTAGTTAAAAAACATTGCTTTTAAGCTCTTAGATTCTTTTGGATAACAGATGACTACATTTAACATTTTAATATTTGTTGTTCCTGTTACACTCAAGTTGGCAATCTGTAGCACGCGTAATACTCGAATTAATTGTAGGTTTCGCGCGACATCCCCGCGACAAAATGACACGTTTAGTAGAGGAAATAACGACCCTCGTGAGGCTTCGGTACAGTAAATCAAGTCAAAGAAAACACCAAATAGGTAAATGGGTATAAAGAGAGGACCTACAAATGATCTTTCTTCTATTCAGGGAATCTTTTGAGCAATGTTACGTCACGGAATAGAGCGCAATTTTATTTTATCTCATATGGAGCGATTAAGTTCAATAAGAGTGTAAGCTTTGTGATCCAGTTAGGTGTTAAGTGTAGTGGGACGGAATAGGGACAGAGCCAGCTTTATGATCAAGTTTGAGGTGAATGAGTGGAAACATAAAGCAACTTTTGTTTTTATCTAAAGATTGATCGAGTCTAAACAAAACAGAATCCTTGTAATTAAGTTTGAATTATTGTATAATCACAGGGCATAAGCTTTGTGAATCAATTAATTCAGCGCAAAGTAAACAATGAATTAATACGAACAAAAACATAAAATTAGTTATAACGTGTAGACTAACCGAGCATCAAAAAAGCATGAGCCTTGTGATCACGCAAAGAGCGATACTAGATAACATGAAGAACGTGCCAATAAAGTTCTTGTCACTTTGTCGGTTCATCAATCGACAAACTTGAGAACTTTCAAGATATAACTAGTTACATATGAACGTTAATGAGAGTTCTGAAACGTATATAATCGACAGATTATAAACTAGTTAGTTCATAATCTGTTGATTCAACTTAATTGTTCAGTGATGTTTTTACTCTTTACAAGACCACGCCTGGTCATTAGATTTTCTTGAGAAGTCAAACTCCTCTCTAGTGATGTATGAAATTTCCTCTTATCATTGCACGTTGTTCTTCCTCATTTCTCTCCTTCGCTTTATGATTATAGGTTCACAAAGCTTAATTTTCAAGCAATATCAATCGAAATATAAAGATCTAATCTAAGAAGGCAAATGGAAATCAATCCCTCATAACAAAGGAATATCTTAAAGCGCATCCCCTTCCCTCCCCACCCCCCTTGGGCTCTTGAGCCCTCGTGTGACGATGTCTATTATCTTTGAGAACAAAACAAAAAGGAAGTAAAAAGAATTGTGACAATCAAGAACAGTTTATTTGACCAGATCATTAACAATGTTTTTCTTTCCTTGGAAGCTTTTATCTTATTACTTCTTCTCTCGCTTTCATTAGTCTCCACAATGATAATGAATCCATTTACACTGCATCAAGAAAAGTCAACATAAACGTGGTACTTTTGTTTTAAAAACTTGCAAGAAAATCGATAAAACCCAAGAAATAAAACTATAAAAAAATTGACATGTCACCATCGCTGTGCATAGCAAACATATTTTAGGGCATCCTGAATCTATGGAAAATAATTCAACACTCGCATGATTTTGGTCTCTTAAATGAAAAAAGGGAAATAAGAACTTGCTAAATTTGAGAGTAATTCATCAAAAAATGAGTCACTACGTAACCGAATTGCAAGAAAGAAAATAACCTCTTATAATGCAGAAGTTTAGGTGCGGCAAATGTTTCGTTGAAAATCAATCTGACTAAGGTGGTGTAATTTAACCATCAATATTGTTAAAGATCTTCATAAAAATGACAAATTTGTACTGTGGATCGTAAGGCAGGGGGACCGCTTTTCTTGGATCATTAATCTCGTTTCCTTGTTAGTCACAGCAGTTTGTCCAAGCTTTTGGGACCACAATCCACCGGGGGGGGGGATGGAGGGCATGAGTCAAACATGTACGAACTTGTACGAATGACACTTGATTACATGAAAAATTAGCTTCACCTGACAATCAAAGAATAAGAAATAAATATGAGAAAAAAACAAATTATTCGTTAGCCGCCAACCCCAAAATTTTGGAACATCAACTTGTTGCGGTAAAACGGTCGTCTTTATTTTACGCTCAAGTGCGGGCGAACAAGGAATGCGTGTAAACAGTTGGTAAAGTACGGTGGCCCACAACTGTCAGGCAAAAGAAATAACCTCGCGGCAAAAGAAATAACAATGTCCTCACGGCATAAAAGAGGGCGTGGGGGCCGGGACTAGCTGTCGAGGTGCACCATGGGATAAGAAAATGCAGTAAAGGGGTCAGCGGCTGATCATCACTTCCCGCCATTTCTCTCGCCGTGAGTCTCTTTCTTTTGCCCCGCGGTTATTTCTTTTGCCGTGACAGTTGGGGGCCACCTTAATAAAGAGTATTATTAACTTCCTCATACGTCGCGCTCATACAGATATAATTAAGCTAGAATAAAACAACACATGAAGGACATCTTCCTCTATTTTTATTCAAATTACAGGCCATTGACATGCATTAAGTATAATTAAGTTTCACCAATCAACTGGTTCACAGGGAAACTAATTCAGTTCTGAACCACATAATCAGACATAGGATATGATGTATTTGAACCAAAATAAAACTGCAGCTGTCTCATTTCGCTAAATGTTTATCTTAAGGAGGAAAAACTCACTCTAGCTGTTCGCTTGAATTATAACGGGTTTTTTTTCTGAGAACATGCTGTCTGTATTCTACTGTTTCGTTCTCACCGTTTTGGCTTCCCTAATACCAGAAGTACGAGGTAAGATTTTGCTATACCCAATGCACACCAATGCTGTTTTGTTAAACATGGTTGGAAATTGTCTTCTTAGCAGCTGCTTAAGCCGATGTTTTTCAACTTCAAATTTAGCAGAATTAAAATATAAATTAGTGTTTACTTGAAACCTATGGAAAATTCAGTTTTTCACATATCTGTTTTAATTCAACCCGGTTGATGTTGTGAATGGGGTATTATTTGTTGTCAAAGAACTATTTCAAAGTTTTCTTTATCATCATATGATTTTTTTGTTATCTTTATCTACATAACTAAGCCTTGAAATATTGACATAAGCATCTCCTACTAGTACTAAAGACAATAACAATTTTATTCATCTACATACCCGGAGTGGCATGAGACAACCAAATATTTTAAAGAAAGTTTTAATTTTGTGTTGCAATACTTTTTAAAAATTACAAAATTGAAAGAAATAAAATTTTAGGGAACATGGTTTCTGGGCTGAGCCAAAAGGGAAGGTTTATTTTGAATAAACAGTCACTGTCTCTGCAATGATGTCCGTGAACCGCGTTTAATTTTCGACTTTTTGATCCTACACGATCGATAAAATGACTACTGGCAGACCTGTTTGTTGATATAGAGGCTGGTTCCATTTTTCATAAAAATTAAGTCGAGGGGTTCATGTACTTTAGTGAGCGGGCAGAAGAAAGGATTTAGCTATTATTGATCCACCGCAGAAAGAAAGTTTAAAATTAACCTGCGGAATAATTTCTCTTCACCCAACCAAAACAGGTGATTTCGACAGAAAAATCTGCTAAATAAATTTTACGCAGTCTTGTGTGATCGTAACGGAGACTGATGGCAAAGATCGAGTCATTGAACTCCTTAGGATATTTTAGGTTCACGTTCAGCCTTTATAGTGTATGATCCAGTACGAGTGTGTAGTCATGAAGATTCCCCACATGAAAATTCCCCACATTTACTTAAACGATCTGACCACTAACGTTTCTCTCTGAATTCTCTCTGAATTTATTAAGGAGCGGAAACTTGAAGAGGCATTCAAAGGAAATTTGTTTGCGACTAGTTAGAAGCTGTTTGAAATGGTAAAATTGCTAAAAACATAACATAACATTCATAACATTACCAGAATTTTGAGTAATGGATCATATTTCAAGCCGAACGACTTTTATAATTAAATATTGCAGAGCACTGTACGGCGTTAAAAAATATTCTTAAATATTTAAGCATTCCGCGAAGATAATCATCTTCCCACGCTCCCAGAAGTTACAAAACAATCATTAAAACGGTTTCGTTTTGAGATTTTCGAAAATAAAATTTCGGGCAAATTTAAGTACCCAAAAAAAAACTTCAATACAGACTCATTGACTTATTGTTTATCAGAGCAAATTAGTACGTGTGGTGTCCCCCAAGGCTCTATTGTTAGTCCTTTGTTATATACATTATATAAGATCTTCCTTATGCATCTAAATTAACACAGCCTCTGCTTTTTGATGATGACACCAGTATCTTTTATTCTCAGTCAGATCCCGATTATTTAGAGTTCTCAATGATGAAGTGTGAAATCTTGACATTTGGATGAAATGCAATAAGCTTTCGGTAAATTTTAAGAAAACAAGTTACATTATCTTTAAATCGAGGCAGAAGAAACTTGGTTAATCTTTTTCCCTATCCTTTGGAAATCAGACATTGAAACAAGTAAATGAAACAATATTCTTAGGTGTTTATATTGATGAGCATTTAACAAGGAAACCTCACATTAGCTTCGTAGCTAAACAAATCCTTAGTCAGCCGGTATAATATTTAGGGCTAGATACTATATTTCATCTAATACCAAGCTTACTCTTACTCTGTACTATACGTTAATTTACCCATATATCACTTACTCTTATTCAACCTGGCCGTCCACATATGTGACCAACTTAAATAGAATGTTTTATTTACAAAAACGTGTCGTGCGAGCTATTATCAACTCAGACTATCGAGAACACACTACCCGCATATTTGCTTAATTGGGCATTTTAGTTATTTCCTAAGTCAAAGCATTGCAAATAGCAAAACTAATGTTTTATTATCATAATCAACTATTGCCCCCGATGTTTCTCAGCTTGTTACAAGAATATCCAATTGCTATCGACCACATAACTGTCGTACTAATCTTAAACAATTTACAATACTCTACCAATTGAAGGCCTAAAATTTGGAATTCTCTCGCAATATCGATCACTGGTTTGACCAGCTTTTTTACTTTTAAAAGAAAGATCATTGAATTTTTTAAATAAAATGAATCCGAATTGGCCAAGCCGCATATCCACAACTTAATTACAAACATATTGACAACAGAGGTGGCCTCTCCTATAAGCCTGGTGGTTTCTTGAAAGTCTCCTCGCCCTAATAAGTGGCTAATAAATGGTGATGATGATGATGGTGATGATAAAATTGTACGAAAGCCTTTCGTAGGTCCCTTAAGAAAAGTGAAATGTTTGGTGCCTAAGCAATATCGAGCTGAAAATCAAAACGAATTGTAATTTGACGAGCCGGTTGTTATGGTGAAAATTTCCTGCAAAGTAGACCCAATGTGTAATGCGTGTAATCCCCCTCCCTCCCTTGCAATCCACCTCTTCGACTTAACAACAACAAACGGAAACTGAAAGCGTGTCAAGAAAGAATTACAGTCGACGACATTATTGAAAATTGGACCCACGAAATAGCTGCAAAACTACCTCTAATGCAACAATAATTTCGTTTAAACCATCAGTAATTGTCATAGTTTTTAAGAAAATATCGAGGTTTTACATCTTTGTGAAAACGGTCGTCGGACAAGGATAGCGTAAATATATATACGTTTATATATATGTTTCATTTTTGGTAGCCTTGTATATTAATATAACTAAACCTTGAAATATTCATACAAACTACTCCTAGAAGTGTTAGATATACTAAATTACTTTAGTCAAATAGTTCTCCCTTGGATAACATGAAACAACCTACACATTGACGAGGAGTTCACACATCGTTTGAATTCAATTTGCACTTTATGGTCATTATTTGAAAGCAACAAGATGGTGAACAAATCAGAAGCGAAAATTTACTGTAGAACCAGTAATCACGTCTTTTTCTTAAAAATGTTGTCCGTGCACGTTTACAACTTTTGGATCCCACGCAATCATTATGGATGAAATGACCACTGGCAGGCCTTTGTATCTCCACAACGAGAAAAAAATAACTTTTCATGGAAAAATGTCTCAAAGCCCACCTTAAACTTATCTATTAAAACTTGGCGTTTGGTGAAATTTAGCTCCAGATAGAGGTGGTGCTGAGGTTGATTGAAATTTTCCAAACCTAAATCGAGGACTTTGTGTAATGCAGGTAGCCTTTACAGAAAGGAAGTTCTAAATTAGCTTGGGCGCAATTTTACTCTTCATACACGCACACACACACACCCATACGTTTATTATTACTCCCATAAAGGAAAAACTATTTGTCAAACAAATTTTGCGTAATCCTGTTTGATCAGAACGGAGGTCGTTGAAAGGCGATTCGGTTCTAAGACAATCCGTATAAAAGATTTCAACTTTTTAACCAACTCAAATAAACATAGGCATACGTAGCGTACAAGAGTCATTTTTTCGGCTGAGCAGATTAAGATGGGGCACTTTGTGTCGATTCGGTTCTACGTTTTCTGAGTGTGAGAAGAAAAACAGTGAAGACAATGGCCGTTTTTATACTCGATGACGCGTTACCCGTCCAGTCGGATAACGCGTCTCTTAAGTTATTCGTCTGATGTAAAGACGGGACGAACAACATGACGAGCAACAAGAGACGAATAATGAGAGATTTTTGGCGGTAAAATTTAAGATGGCGGCCCTGCTGGAACTTGTAAAATTGTTTTCCTGTAAAAGAAAAGCTGAAGAAGAGTTTTTAAGTTGCCAATATAAAATGAACGAAGAAATGTGTTCTTCTTTGAATTCTTCGGTCCACATACGTTCCTCAAAAACCTTCTTTATCTCCTCGAAAACAGTTTTGTTTGCAGTCTTCGTCAACGCAAATTTGTCCAGTTTGTAACCAAAGTCGTTTTCCTCGTCTGGTAGGACGAAGGTAAAGTACTTCAGCTCTCTTTCAGTCCATGAACGACTTTGCTGTTTCGTACCTGCATCAGCTGCAGCCGCCATGTTGTTATGTTTGGCGTTTAACCGCCAGCGTTTTTGCAACACGGTCTCATTAATTTTTAGCGTTGGCTTTGGCAATGGATCAAAATAGCTTAGATCTTCAAGAGGGAGATAAAAACTGCATCGATTAGTCGGAAGATACGTTATAAACAATCGACAGGGGACAGTAGAAGAATCGCAAAGTCAAAAGTCAAAGCAATAATTTAGAAGAAAAAGTGCTTTACAGTTCGAGTTTAAGAGAGGTGCTCAATACTGCATAGCAACTTTCCAACTTTACATAATTGTTTTCCAGGTAACTGCCGCAGTTTATTGTTTACTACTTTTCCTAAACCTGGCTTCCGGTTGGAGAATCACACGCTTCGAACTATTGAAGTTGTTAACGAGGATCTCTGCAGATTCCAATGCTACCTGGAACCTAACTGCGTCAGTTATAACTTCTGTGAGATAAAACGGTTGTCTGGAAAACATGAGTGTGATCTGAATAACGCGACTATTGAACATGATGAAGACCTGGTGAAAAACGAAAGTTACATTTACCGCGGAGCAGAGGTGAGGATCAATTCTATGAGGGAAAAGAAAGGGAAAACTCTTTGTCCGGGGAAGCTCTGATACGAAATCAAGGGATATCCCGGCCTCTCCTACTAATTTAAATAACCCTCTCGCAACGGGAATAAATGTAACGCGAACATCCACCAAACCTAGCCCAAAAAATGGGACGGCACGCATGAGACATACGCACATTATTGCAAGTGCGGACAACAAACACACGGGAAGGATTTGTTAGCCTTCCAAAACATCATTTTAAATTTCTCTATTCCTTTCCTTCCTAAGAATGCTTGTAAGAAAAATCCTTGTAAGAATAACGCAACATGCCAAGCTGGGTTTACAGACAGAGACTATCAGTGTTTGTGCGTGGATGGATCTGGATTTAAAGGCCATAACTGTGATGAGGGTAAGGAATCTTATACTTTTACCAGTATAGCTAATCACATGATTTCGAGTGAAATTTGGGATAAATCAGCACGAGTATATTTTGAAAGGCCAATCAAATTGCACGAGCCTGTACGCTCGTAATCTTCTGCGTCTTTCGCACGCAATGTTGCACTGGTTAAACTCCTTGATAATTTTATTCAGGGGGATCGCTGTATACTTTCATAGCCGTTTCTGGAAGCCAGACTTTTGACCAGTTGATTGTCCTTCGTTGGATGCTTTTATTTTTAGCATTCGCCCTAAAACTCTGAATTAAAACATTGTTGCTTTCTCTTCACTTGTCAGCCATTTTGTTTCGTTGTGCTTACGCGACTTACCTGTCAATCAGTTTGATTTTAACTCTCTGCATTGTGTGGGATAAATTGTCGTGCTCTCGGCCGATGAGCATGCTGAAATTCTTGCACGTGTTTTATTAAAGAAACATGATGTACTGATAAATAACAAGTTTCGCACGCTCCTCCCCAAAACTTTATTTCTTTTGGGTGATTGGGCAGACTTATTTGAAAGGGATAAGCACCATACAATCGCTAGCATCTCAATAGCATGAAAGTCTCAGAACATCACAGCAGATAGCCTTGGCTTTGAAGTTTGCGAGAAGAATGATATAGAATAGCACAAGTTATTCAAAATACAAAAGACGATTTATCTGAATAATTGTGTTGCTGCTCATGGTTCATTTTAGAACCTGGTTCATCGCTTTTTTTTTTTTTGCATTGCTTTTACTCCATTAAGTCTCAAGTTTTTCTATCGCGTCTAAAGTTTGAAACAGAAAACAACGGTTTCCGGTTAGCGACATCAATTGACTTCGAGGGGCGCTCTTTTGCTTCTTGTTTTTCTTTCAGGATTTTTTTTTAAAGCCTGGCTTGCATACTTTGCTACCTTATTTTTCTCAAATTTCATTTCATTGCTTTGCATTTGGTGCATTTCCACCTCTGACTCTGACATTTAGGTTTCAGTGGGTCGTAAGTGACTGAGTCAATAACGTAACCTGAAGAAAATGGAAACCTTGGTATTCTTGCGGTCACAGGAGCTGTTTGGGCCGTACTTTAACTCTTATATCTTCTAATGAAGCCAGCTTTTGGTAGCATATTCGGACTCTTTGGTCCAAATAGTTTCTTAGAGAATGGCTGTGTACTAGCGTTCTTTCTAACCGTGGCCCTGAGTAAAAGCAATATTGGCAAAGCCAAAAGTAATTATAACAATTTTTTACTGGTATCATAAATTTCATTTTTACTTAATGTGTTTTACGAAGGATTTACAGCTGTCTTTACAAACCTTGGTAAGAGTGGAACAAAGGGTCCAGACTCAGTTGGCAGTCACTACACAGGTCAGGATCATGACGGACAAGTTACAGTGTCCAACGGTACTCAACTGTGGACTGTGCCACACACTGGTGAATACAAAATAGAAACAATAGGAGCCTCAGGGGGGTACAGTAAGGACAGTGTTATCAACGGAGGGAGAGGGGCGCGGATGATTGGAAACTTTATGTTGACCAAAGATGAGATCATTCGTATACTTGTTGGTCAGAGAGGGAGAGGAACTTACAAAAATTCTACCAAAAAAACTGCCGGAGGCGGAGGAGGTACATTTGTAGTAAGAGGAGACAACAAGCCTTTGATCATAGCCGGAGGTGGAGGAGGAGTTGCTAAAATGACAGAACAACATTCAGGATGTGATGCGTCCATAAACACAACAGGAAATGCAGGGTATAACTCGCCATTCCTGTCAGGAGGAAGTAACGGAAATGGAGGACAAACTGATAAACCGTACTCTGGTAGGTGAAGAATTTCCTATTTACAACTGCTGAATTTTTTTTTGCATCCATCAGTATTTCGGACAAAGAGGTGATACCGGTCGCTTAAATTTGGATTTTTTTCAGAATTACTAAAAGCCATGATCTGTTAAGTTGCTAATGTCAACTGTAAATCTCTTGATTGTAGGTGGCGGTGGCGGCGGCTTTTACAGTAATGGAGAAGACTCACAGAAATCTTTTGGAGGGGGAAAGGGAGGTAAAGGATTTCTGAACGGGGGAGAGGGGGGAGCATATTGGGGTGGGTTCGGAGGTGGGGGTGGATATCGTGGAGTCCGTGAGTTACCTGGGGGAGGGGGAGGGTACTCCGGGGGAAGTGGAGGTGCGAATAAAAATATTTCCTGTGGGGGAGGGGGAGGTTCTTTCAACAACGGAACAAATCAGCAAAATGAATGTTGTTATAATACTGCTGGACATGGTAAAGTGATCATAACATTTCTCCACTGAAATGCATGGCAGCACTTTCCTTAGCGTGTAGTGGTATAATTCTGTTTTGAAGCGCTAATTGATGCCTGTTTTTAAACTCAATTACTCATAATTTTTTTGGGTCATTATTTAGATTTTGTTATTAAGCCGTGTTACTGTAAGACAAACAGCGCAACATGTGGTTGTAGAGCCGTTTATATTTGAGGTTAGAATTAAAATTCACAAACAACATTTGCTAGAATAGGTGAGTTTGTGAATTTTTACTGAACTTACCTTCTCCCCCGGGGAGAGGGATGGGGTAGGGGAGGGGGAAGGGGGGAAGGGACGGGGGGAAGGGATGGGGAGAATAAAGCATGGCTCGTACGTTCTCAGTTGTATGATGCATGAATATTTAGGTGATAGAAAACAGTGAACAACAAATTCTCCCAACTCTTTATTCAATCAGATTCTTACGCGTTAAAAGCATACAATATTAAGGTGAAGCAAGATAATAGTTTGTAATCTCCAGGGTGAGGACAATGTTGGCTAAAAATTACTTTGGCCTATAGAATAAAGAAGATACAAATGCTAAGACTGTTTAGACTTTAAATAGCGGGCATGGTGGGAAGTTAGTGATAATTGGTCAAATAATAACATATGGGTAATGAAGACTAAGTAATAATTTTGTAGAGAAACAGTTGTGAAGTCAGTTCTTCATATTCTTGTGCATTTTATGTCAATGAATACACATTTAACAATGTAAAGGTATACAGTCAATCTTTTTTTCTCGATCAGCTCAAAACCAAAATTGATTTTCAATAATGATACAGTCAGTGTGACCCGGCTTCTTTAATTTTTTTGCTCGTTCACCTTCTAAATGTTGCTGCGAATGACACTGACTGTAGGCGATGGCACATTCAAGTTAACGCAAAAGCTTACTTACTTGTTATATTTTTGTTTTTCTGCTAACATATGGAATGTCTTTTCAGGAGGCTCTCGTGCTCTCCGTCACTTAAAGTGGAGTAAAGCGCTGTAATTTTCACGTAGTTGGAAAGAATGATTCTGCTTAATAATAGTTAGAAATATATTGAGAACATTCTTTGCTGGTGGATTGACTAAAAGCTCCCAAGAATTGTTTCTAGGAGTTACAGAAAACCTTTCAGGAATTACTGCATTCAGAAAACTAAAATGTCTAGATCCATCAATGATTCCTTTGCCAGCTTAAGTCAAAGTATGGTTACAAGAGTCAATTTGATTGACAAGCTACATACTGATTTTGCTAATTGATCTGTTTTATAAGCATCTCATCTTACATGCTGACATGGAGATTTTCTGTTTAGTTAAATCGTTCGCTGGTGGAACTTGTGGGTTTAGTTATCGAGAAGACCAAGTCGTTCCCTTGCGTGATTGTTAAAAAGACATTTCAAGTCACTTGCGGAGTTGCAAGTTTTCAGATCCAGAAAATGAAGTTGATCTTGTTTTGTCGCGTGCCGGCATCTTCGAGACGCCAAAAGATATTGATGATTTTACAAATTGCCCCTCTCACAGATCAAATCTCGGTGTTGGGTGGAATCGTGGTTCCAATAGCAGATGTAGGCTGCCAAAAGAAATGTTCGGCCATGGTAAAGGTAGGGTTAAGTCGATCCCAAAAGCTGATAGGGGAATTGGCAAGCGTGTATCACAGATAGTACTCAAGATGTCTGGAAATTTCGTACAATCTGGCTGCGGTAAGTAGGCTATTTACCACCGTGAGCAAAATTACGCGTGACATCAGACTTAAGTTTCGATTGGGAATTGGTCAATAGGCTACCAAAAATTCAGACAGAGGCGGAGTTTTCTGAACTAATGTCTGAACACTTTGTTGGCTTTCCGCCGTCTAGGGGGACGCGTGATTATGTACACGGTGGTAAAGGCCCTTCCGCACTAGCAACTAGACACTGACAAAATTTGTTTCTCTTCGCCAAAAATCACATCGGAATTTGTCCTTGCTAAATATCAAGTGTGCTGCACGTATCGGCATCCCCGGGGGACCCTTAACATAACAGGGCGGGGATGCGCGCCTAGAATTTCAAAAACGACCGCTCTAAAATTATAAAAGGTACTTAAGTCTTATCCGTGTGGGAGTAACAACAATTAGCCTGTAAAAACAAGTGTTTATGTCCTTTTCTGTCTTTTTCAATGCTTCCCTCGCTCCTACAGAGGATTCATACAAATATGAGAGCCGTGCCGCGTTTACATTGTACAGGTAGAAAAGGTCGTCCGGAATATAATGAGTGTTTAGTTCTGTAATGAAAACCCCAATAAACTCACTCAGAAATGACTCGTTTCGAATGAATTTTACGCTGGATATTATGTGGCAACCGGTATGAACTCGTTCTTGAACAAAACTCATCACGCTTTGCTCGCCTGTCTGAATACTAAAAATTTCGGAAGCGTTGAAGCAACAACCCACTTTTAACTGCTTCGCTGCCGCTGAAACAACGATTAGAGAAGAAAGCACATATTTTAATATATATTTTCAATTCAACATAAACAAAAATCTTTAAACATGGTAAATATTCACTTGTGTCGGTATCAATTATTGCGTGACTAGCTTATGATATAAATGAGGGAGGGGAAAACACAACGCAAAACCTGTGCTCCTGTCAAAAAGTAATACCCAGGCGTAATATAATAATCGAAACGGCTAATAAAATCATAAATAAACAAGGTAAGAGTGTTATGTTAGACTTTTTTACATTTTTTGATTTATGCTAATTAACGGTGGCGACAAGTAGGCGCACCATGTATATCCCATAGTCGCTATCAAGTAAATTTTGCCGGACTTTGAGTTCGTCTCAAGATAGAACAACACAAATACACAAGGAAATTTTTACGGTAACTTTATAACCATCCTTTGGTCTTTTAAAAGCTTGAAGCTCAGTAGATTCTATCATATCGGTCATTGTTAAAACTGTCTTTGTTTTGATGCTACTTTTCGACATAGGAAAAGTATGTCGGACAAAAATATTCACCACAAAAATAAATATTTCTTTGCCAGCTTCAATAGCGACAGGGGATTAAGTTTAGATAATAAAACAAAGTATTATGTTCACAGAAATACCGTAGGTCTAGTACATTCGTTACATGAGGTCCCACAACTCGGGGAACATATTGGGCTACAAAATATGAAAGTAGGAGAGAAAACGAAGTTTGGGCCACTTGCTACAATATTTCAAATTTGTTCGATGGATGCTGACATCCTCTCTTAAAATCTATTTCATTTTTTTCCGGCCCAATCATGTTTGGTTTTTACTACAGAAAACAGGTTTAAAAACTGGCTGTTCATACAGTTTATAATGATTTTTGATAATTATTTTCGGAACAGTGTTAAGAGGCTTTCATAAATTCGTGAGCGAATTGTTCGTCAAAGTTCAAATGTCACGTTTTTTACCCATACATGTTCCATCAAGTCTTGCTCGTGCTGTGGTCTCTTTGTTTAATTTCTGTCATCCACCTGGTTGATTTGAGGTCAAAAGAAAAACCGGCGCCAGCGAATTGCAGTACTCTTCTGAATATTTTAATCCCTGTTGGCGGTGAAAAATCTTAGACAAAGTTAGAAAAATAAATGGAACAACGCCAATGTGACGATAAAAAGTTATCAGTTGTAATATTCAAGCATCAATTTCCGATATAAAAAAAGGTTCTACTTTATGTTCTTTTGGAATTGTCACTTTCCGAAGTCCTCAAGTTAAACTACTGACGAACATTGCGAAAAATACAAATTAAAATGTGTATCTTTTAAGATAAAAATTAAAATTTTTATCCTTAACTCAGTGCTACATCACTCGCTCCCACATTACCGCTCATCGGCGATGTTCGCACTAATTCCGCTCATCCAGGAAAAAATACATTATTTATAGCAATAATTTTCGCTCTAAGTCGGCACCTCATGGACTACTGATAGACATAACAAGAATTCGTTTGATATTCAGACACGTAACCTCTTATTTACGTGCACAATTTGAGTACAGCCGAAACGAGTCAGTTGTTATGGAGACTATTTCCAGCAGAGGGGAAATGATAAGTGAAAATGTCAATTAAAAAATGACATTTGCATTGAAAAGCTCTGAAAGAAGACGTGAAGTAACCTGGACGGGGCTTTTCATCCAACAAAATTGATATTTCTCTTCGAAGAGTTTAAATTGTTTGACAGGTTCTTTGGTCTGTTGATACTAAGTGTTAACTTGTGAATCACCTTCCACCCCCCCCCCCCCACCATTCACTTTTCCTTTATTAAAAAACGGAATTTGAAAGGGTCCTGAGGTGAACAGTCTCGTGAAGGGGGGAGGGGGTGGAGGGCGCAAGTCATTCATGTACGAACATGTACGAACATGTACGAAACTTGTACGAATGACACTTGATTACATGAAAAACCAGCTTCACCTCACAATCAAAGAATGAGAAATAAATATGAGAATAAAAAACAAATTCTCCATCAGAGCCAACCCAAAAATTTCGGAACATCAACTTGTTTTGGTAAAACGGTCGTCTTTATTTGACGCTCAAGCGTGGGTGAACGAGGATCGCGTGTAAACAGTTTGTAAAGAGTATTGTTGACTGCCTCATACGTCGCACTCATACGGACATAATTAAGCCACAATAAAACAACACATGAAGGACATCTTGCTCTATTTTTATTCAAATTATAGGCCATTGACATGCATTAAGTATAATCACTGACAACCTCATAATCAGACAAAGGAGGTGACGTATTTTAACAAAAATTAAACTGCAGCTGTCTCATTTCGCCCAATGTTTCCCTTAAGGAGGAAAAACTTACTGTAGCTGTTCCCTGGAATTATAACGGGCGTTTTTTCTGAGGAAATGCTGTCTGTATTCTACTGTTTTGTTCTCACCGTTTTAGCTTCCCTAATAACAGAAGGACAAGGTAAGATTTTCTTATACCTAATTCACACTAATGCTTAAACATGTTTTAAAGCTGTTACGTTAAAGATGGTCATAAATTGTCTTCTTAGCAGCTGCTTAAACCGATGTTTTTC